TACAGGTCCTTCTCAAAAAATTAGCATATTGTGATAAAGGTCATTATTTTCCATAATGTAATGATAAAAACAAAACTTTCATATATTTCAGATTCATTGCACACCAACTGAAATATTTCAGGTCTTTAATTGTTTTAATACTGATGATTATGGCATACAGCTCATGAAAACCCAAAATGCTTTTACCAGAAAACAGCTTTTCAACTTATTGTATCAAATTTTACGAGAGTCTTTTTTTAAATATAGAAACTGGACATAATAACCTTCAATAAGAAATAAATACCATTAGCAACATCCATCCATCCATCAGTCCATCCACTCATCCATCCATCCATCAGTCCATCTTCTACTGTTTATCCATAATCGGGTCGTGGAGGCAACAGGTCCAGGAGAGAAACCCAGACATCCCTCTCTCCAGTGACACTTTTCAGCTTGTTCTGGGGGACCCTGGGGTGTTCCCAGGCCAGAGAAGACACACCATCCCTCCAACAACTTCTGGGTCTTCCCTGGGGCCTCCTACCAGTGGGATGTGCCCAGAAAACCTCTAAATGGAGGTGTCCAGGAGGCATCCTAACCAGATGCCTAAACCACCTCAACTGACTCATTTCGATGCAGAGGAGCAGAGTGCCCCCCAGATGACAGAGCTCCTCACCCCATCTCTAAGGCTGAGCCTGGCCACCCTGCGAAGGAAGCCCATTCCGGCCGCTTGTATCAGAGATCTCATTCTTTCAGTCCTGATCCAATCTCATGAGCACAGGGTGGGGGTTGGAATGTAAACAGACCAGTAAATCCAGAGTTTAGCCTTTCTATTCAGCTCTGTTTTCACCATGATAGACTGAACCAATGTCCTCATTACTGATAACCAGGCTCCAATCTGTCAGTCCATCTCCTCATGAATATATAATATTTACTCATGAACAAGATGCCCAGATACTTGAAACTCTCCCCCGACCAGGAGGGGGCATGCCACTCATTTATGGTTGATAAACATGACCTCAGACTTTGAGGTGCTGACTCATCTGAGTAAATTCACACTCGACTGTGAACCGCCCCAGTGCACATTGAAGGTTTTGGCCTGAAGACACCAACAGAACCACATCATTCAAAAATTCAATTTAAAAATACTTTATTAATCCCAGAGGGAAATTATTTTGTTGCTGTAACTCGTTATCCTCATTTCATTAAGAGATGTTATAGATGCTGATGCTGTAGGCAGGAAGGATCTCTTGTAAAGGTCCATCCCACAGTGGATCCTAAGAAACTGGCTGCAGATGCCGTCCGATCCGTCCACCCAGACTCGGCTGGCCTCTCGGTTCCCCTGGACTATAGGACCGCTTGAATGCTGGGCAGAACTCCTCCCAGAGCGATGGCCACTCCTCCCAGCAGTCTGCCGAGCTCCTCGTTGCTGCGGACAGCCAACCGTAGGTGCTGAGGGACGATCCCGTCCATCCGCTGCCGTGAGCCGTGTTTCCTGTTAGTTCCAGGACCTCAGAGATCAGGCACTCGAGCACAGCTGGCAGGTAGATGATAATGCATCCACAGAACATCCTTTTCAACTCATTTGAGAGTTGGGGCCATAGTTGAGATATTATTTGAGCTTTTGAGATGTTAATCAGCTGCTGCTGGTTGTAGAAAACTGCCTTGTTGCCATGGTTACGCATCATAACAAATGTCCAAAACTAAAAAAAGTTTCAGTAAAAATCCTTCCAGCTGCACAGCATCTGATACCAGAGGAAACAATCATCCAGAAAATGATTTACATCCAGAAAAAGAGGAATTAAAGTTTCCAAAATCAAAATCTCAGAATGAAAGTAACAGAGCTGCTCCAACATGCAGCCACCTGGAGCGGAGCAATTCTAGAATTTTTCATCCACATGAAGCAGAGATGAGACCCTGCGGTTTCCAAACCAGACACCCTCCTCTCCACGACTGGATCTCAAAATCCTGTCCACAAACAAGAACAGAGACAAGGGACAGCCCTGGCGGTGTCCAACCCGCACTAGGAACACTCTCGATTTTGTGCCAAGAATGTAGACACAACTCCTGCTTATGGTATCCAGGGACTGGATGGATGGATGGATAGTTGAAGCTGTCATTTCTAAATCAACCACTTTACCAATTGACAATCCATGAATGCACCTTCCTATAAAGAACACAGGGACACCGAGGATCCAGACCAGAGACCAAAACTGGGATACACTGGTTCAGTGAAGGTGGTGGTGAAGGTGTGGAGGTGGATCAGTGTGTCTGAGGAGACTATGTAGAAGGACACAGTCCCGGCAGGACAGTCCACATACACAGCTACTCTGTGGGAGATGGATATGGACGAGATGGAGGTTTCTCTGTTAACGTGCCAGGCAGAGAAACCAAAAACGTCCGAGCACTCCAAACACCAGGACTGGTCATTCCTTCCAAACCTGCACTCATCACTCTTGCCTTTCCGTTGGATTCCTCTGTAACTCAGTGATACGAGAACTCCTCCAGTCCACTCGACCTCCCAGTAGCAGCGATCGCTCACACCGTTTCTACACATCAGCTGCCAGCACGGTTCAAACCTGTCTGGATGGTTGGAGTACGGCTGCTCCGCCTCCTCCATCGTCACCTTCGTGTTGTTGTCAGACAGTTTCAGATTCCTGTGCACTGAGTTGGTGTCCACCTTAGGTTCACAAAAATCTGATGGGGAGAGGAAAAAACTGGTTTGACTGGTCAGCTTGATGATTTTTCAACTATTCAAAAGTTTATTCCAAATTATTTTTTTAAAGATAGAATTAACTGCAATTATTTTTAGTCTTTATTACATTTCTTCACGTCCGGTTTTAACCTGTGCTCTCCACTGCAGTCCAACCTGGAGAAAGAAACAGACTCAGTTAGCTGCAGAAACGTAAGGTACAGTAATATCGGTCATCCACTTTCAAAATTGTTAATCATATCATCCATCCATCCATCCATCCATCCATCCATCCATCCATCCATCCATCCATCCATCCATCCATCCATCCATCCATCATCTTTACCCACTTCTTCCTTTTTGGGTCATGGGGATCACTGGTGCCCATGTCCAGCTATCACTGTGTGAGAGGTGGGGGACACCATGGACAGGTCTCCAGTCCATCACAGGGACACAGAGACAAACAATCATTCTCTCTCTCACCTAGGTACAAGTTAGATTTACCAGTCAGTCTAACATGCATGTTTTTGGTCTGTGGGAGGAAACTGGAGTACCTGGAGAAAACCAACGCATGCACGGAGAGAACATGTAAACTCCACCCAGAAAGATCGGATTGGGATTTGAACTGGCAACCTTCTTGCTGAGAGGAAACAGCTCTACCAACTAAGCCACCGTGCCGCATCAATCAAATCAAGTTTAAAAATTAGATGTTGGGCTCTTCATGACCATGAAGAACAAGACAAGACAGTTCCTGACTGGGTATCCCATGGCAACGTGGTCAAAGGAGAGGACTTTGATGGAGCAGCATAACAGGGAACTGGGGAACCAGACCATACGACCAGCGCTCAGCCTGGAATGGGAGTTTGTTTGTGAGCAAGCCAACAAGGCGGACTATTCAAGGAACACGGTTTGTTTAAAGCGGACGAAACAGCTCCGGTCTGAAACCGCCCTAAGAGGGTTGCCCCTTGTCTTCACTCCACAGAAGGGAAGGCCCCCACTTCTGACTGGTATTTGTGAGGAAGCATCAACAACAGTTTAGGTTGCCCAGCCTTCTTGGGTTTTTCATCATGTCCTGGGAAGGGATACCATCTGAGGATTCCCCCGAAGTAGAGGGTTTTTGAGGAATCATCGTCCAGATCTCACGTTTTTATTGAGACGTATAACCAAATGTTTCAGCAGGTTGTCTGTTGGTACCTGAGAGAGATCAGTCTCCAGTGTGGATCCTTCAGTTCTGTGGACAGCATCTTCTCTCCCAAGAGTCCCGGATGGTTGTAGCTCAAGTCCAGCTCTCTGAGATGGGACGGGTTGGAGCCCAGAGCTGAAGCCAGAGAAGAACAGCCTTCTTCTGTGATCAGACAACCTGACAGTCTGGAGTAGAATAAAAACCATAATTAATAAAGTTGTTAATAAAAGGTTGTGCAGGTATTTCAACATTTATGAATCAACAACAAGAGGTCTCCTGACCTGAGAGTTTCCAGTTTGCAGTGTGGACTCTCCAGTCCAGTGGAGAGCCGTCTAACTCCTGAGTCCTTCAAGTTGTTGTTGCTCAAGTCCAGTTCTCTCAGACTACAGCTCTGAGACCTTAGGACGGAAGACAGAGCTTCACAGCCCCTCTCGAAGAGTTTGCACCCGCAGAGCCTTCAAAAATATATATGTATATATATATAT